TATCTAGCAAACTGGTTGAGACTTAAGTATTGTCAGGCACATAGATGAACATAATTGGTTGGGGAAGAGTCAATAGGGTTTTTGTAAAGGGAAATCATACCTTACCAATCTGCTAGAGTTCTTTCAAGGGGTCAACAGGCATGTGGACAAGGGGGAACCAGTGGATATAGTGTACTTAGATTTTCAGAAAGCCTTTGACAAGTTCCCTCACCAAAGGCTCTTAAGCAAAGTAAGCTGTCAGGGGATAAGAGGGAAGGTCTTACCACTCCATGAGAACTGGTAAAAGATAGGAAATAAAGGGTAGGAATAGTCAGTTTTCAGAATGGAGAAAGGTAAATAGTAGTTTCCCTCAGGGGTCTGTATTGGGACCAGTCCTATTCACCATATTCATAAATGATCTGGAAAAAGGGGTAAACAGTGAGGTGGCAAAATTTATAGATGATACAAAACTTCTCAAAATAGTTAAGTTCCCCCAGCAGGCTGCAAAGAGCTACAAAAGTATCTCAAACTGGGTGAGTGGGCAACAATATAGCAGATTAAATTAAATGTTGATAAATGCAAAGTAATGCACATTGAAAAACCTAATCCCAACTATCCATATAAAATGATGCCTAAATTAGCTCTTGCTACTCAAGGATGAGATCTTGGCGTCTGTGTGGAGAGTTCTCTGAAAACATCCACTCAGTGCGCAGTGGCAGTCAAAAAAGCAAACGATGTTGGGAATCATTAAGAAAGGGATAGATAAGACACAATATCCTATTGCCCCTCTATAAATCCATAGTGGGCCTGCATCTTGAATACTGTGTGAAGATGTGGTTGCCCATCTCAAAAAAGATATATTGGAAAAAGTTCAGAAAAGGGCAACAAAAATTATTAGGGGAGTGGAACGGCTTCCCTCTGAGGAGAGATTAATAAGATGGGGGCTTTTCAGCTTGGAATAGAGACAACTAAGGGGAGATATGACTGAGGTCTATAAAATCATGACTGGTGTGAAGAATGTGAATAAGGAAGTGTTATTTACTCCTCATAACACAAGAACTAGGGGTTACCAGAAGAAATTAATAGGCAGCAGGTTTAAAACAAGAGGAAGTATTTCTTCACACACCACAGGGTCAGTCTGTGGAACTCTTTGCCAGAGGATGTTGTGAAGGCCAAGAGTGTAATAGGGTTCAAAAAGGAACTAGATAAGTTCATGGAGGATAGGTCCATCAATGGCTATTAGCCAGAGATGGTGTCCCTAGCCTCTGTTTGCCAGAAGCTAGGCATAGGCTCCAGTGGATGGATCACTTGATGATTACTTGTTCTGTTCATTCCCACTGGGGCACCTGGCACTGGTCACTGTCGGAAGACAGGATACTGGGCTAGATGGACCTTTGGTCTGACCCAGTACGGCCATTCTTATGTCTCAGGGGAGGCTCTGGCAGTGCGATGTGCCATGCCATCTGCGTGCTTCAGGCAGGAGGGTTTTCAGGAGATTTAACTTGCAGAGCTGTTAACAGTGGCTCGGATTTCACTCTCTGCTTGGTAGTTTGGATTGTGTCAATACACAAAGTCAAGGAGGGGGAGTAGCATGAAGCATGGCCACCGGGAGAGCTGGAAGTGGATCTAGAAGCTGCTGTAGACACCTCCAGGAACAAAGTGTGGGGGTGGTGATGGGGGAACTCTCTCCCATCCCCAGAAAACTTGGTAGGGCTGTGGGATACCTAATACTTGGTGGATGGTTCCATAAACTGAGTGGAAATGCTGGTCCTAGAATCCAAATCTCTGGGCTCCGCGTCCTGTGCCCTATTACAACAGACCATTCTGCCTCCCTTGGGAGCAGCCCCCACACTACAGTGGGGCTTGGCTGTAGTTCTGCCTCTAGCTGACCAAGTTACTTTAGTGGCCAAATGCTGCCTAATAACTGTCTTCAGCACCAGCCCCCTTGCTTTCCCTCTGTACGTAGGATGGTCTCTAGAGGGAAGGTGTGCCTCTCCCTTCTAACCTGCACCTTCACGCCAGCTGTCCCCCTCTTCCGTGTGTGTATTGCTTTAGTAGGTAGTGCTATCACATCAGAGTCGGCCTCTGTGTTGGAGAGCCCCAGCATAAAGCCCCTGTTGCTGCCTCTGTGAAAAGCAACATGCTGAGGTCCTGTAAGCACCCCATGGAGCAACTTGGGTGTAAATGACCACTAGTGGAGCTGTGTAAAACCCAAAGAGCTGCGGCTGCCCCTTCCATCTGGTGTTCATCCAACTTGCTGTCACTGATTATGGGACTGGCTTCTTTATTTGTATTGTAGTGCCTAGGAGCCCAGCCAGGGAGCAGGCCCCCATTGTGCTAGGGGCTGTACAAACTGAATGAAAAGACAACCCCTGTCCTAAAAAGCTTACAATGCACATTTATTTTAAGGTGAGTTTATTACACTGATAAGGTGACGGCCTCTCTCGGAGAACACGCTGTGGGTAAAAAGGGGGCTGGGGCCTCTGTGCTAGGTTGTTCTGAAGTTTCCCTCTGTCCCCCTGGACTTCCTAAGCCCTGAGTAAACTTAGAGCAGTCCAATAACCCTGACTGACTCGGCTTGCTACTAAACTAAGAGCCAGGCATGATAGCAGGGGCTCTGTAGTAGAAATGCCATCTTTCACTGAACTCCCAAAAGCAAGGCCCTGAACCCATCTTGGAAAATCTTATTAAAAATTAGAGACATTAGCACACATGACCTTGGCCTTAATTCTGCCAGGCTACTGTCCACTGATACACTGCTCTAGCCCGCTCCACAGATGACTGAAGTGACCCTTGTGGAGCTGGTTTAGAGGAAAACTGGATCCTGCAGAAATATTCAGGATTGGGGGTTACATTGTATGGAACTCATTAACCTGTATGCAAATGATTCTTAGCCGTTCATATACGTGAATTAGTTTTGACCTGCAGTTACTATGGGCAGGTCTTTCTGTACATATGAAAATAGCTTACATTGACGTTATGCTGCTCCTATCAATTTATCTGCTTTAATTATATTTATTTGCCTCTCCTCTGAAGCCTGGGAGAAGGTCAGCATCAGGTGATTCCAATTCATAGATTCCAAGGGCAGAAGGGACAATTGTGATCATCTAGTCTCACCTGCTGTATGACGTAGGCGATAGAACTTCCCCACAATAATTCCTAGATCAGATCTTGAAGAAAAACATCCAATCTTGATTTGAAATCTGCCAGTGATGGAGAATCCATCACGATTCTTGATAAGTTGCTTCTTTAGTTAATTACTCTGTTAAAAATCGACACCTTATTTCCAATATGAATTTATCTAGCTTCAGCTTCCAGCCAGTGGCTCATGTTCTTCCTTTCTCTGGTAGACTGAGGAACCCATTATTAAATATTTATTAAGTAGTTGTGTGTGCTGATGGGTAAGGAGGGGGAGCAGTGTGGATTCCAGCATCGGTCTAGGACCGTCGTTCTCAAACTTATTTCATCGTGCCCCCGTCTTTGTGTCTATAGTAGTTTACACACATACCCCTGCCTCTTGCCACACACGTACATATACTGATTTAACAAAAATCAACATGCAACTCTCCCTAGATCTTAAAAACAGTAAGGCGTTGATTCAAACAGCGCCAACAATCCATTGTAATAAGACCAAAAGCCCCAAACTGATTGTGGTTGCTGCTAACAATTAAATGTGCACAAAGGGATTAACGCATGGAAGGCACCGACTTTCTATAATGGTATGTAAGCTCAACCGAACTCCATCATGCTGCACGGTGCCAGCTGGGGACCTGATATCTCTGGAGGAATCAGGTTTGCTAGTTATTCAATGCTGTGGGTAAAATGTGGGCAGTACGTTTTTTTCCCCTTAAACTTCTCCACCCCCTCTTCCTCCCAATACGTTCCCCACCCCCATCCCATCCCCAGTTTGAGAACGTCTGGTCTAGGAGTTTAGTGCTGTTAGGACCATCGCCCTGGATACCATATAGAGGTTTGTGGTATAAGAACGAGACAGACACATCTCTGCTGTGGTTGGCTGACTTTGTAACATTGTAGCCCACCTTGACCTTGAAACTGAGCAAGGCCTCACTTCTGAACGCCTCAACATAGGTTCTAATTGTGGTTGATCCCCACAGAGCAATGGCGACCGGAAGTAGAGGGTAGCTCCCACAGAGCAATGGCGACCGGAAGTAGAGGGTAGCTCCCACAGAGCAATGGCGACCGGAAGTAGAGGGTA